GATTTTATTTGCTTTTTTAAGGAATAACAGATCAAATAATTAATTTTATGAATTATCCAAGCGCACTTTATCTGTAGAGACAATTAGGATCAAAACAACAAATTGATTAAAAAAGTTTGCATTTAAATGAATTCGAATAAAGCCGGCCTTAAATGATATCACTTTAGAAGGGTAGAGTGAGGAGTAGTTTTTAAAATTGGGGCAGTTAATGACAGGGATGTGGAAGGGAGTAACAAGAAGTGTGATATCCCAAAATTAACACATTTAAAATCGGTAGATAATGTAATTCGATATATATATATATATATATATATATTTCGCCTAATGCNAAAATATATATATATATATATATATGAAATTTAAGTAAATGCAAAAACTGCATAACTTTTTTTCAAAGGTGGTTTATTAAATCAAAATATTTTTCGTTTGCTTCAAAATGCTTTTCCCATCGAGATTTTAATGCATAAAGACAGTTTGATTTTTAAAAGCAATAATCTCAGTCAGCGAATGTTTAGACTTCCTTCATTTTTATATTGTTTTGCCCGTTAAAGAAATATTTTCCCTTTTTTTAAACATTTAGAGTAATATTATGGCATATTATTAAAAAAGAGCTCAACAGCTGGAAAATGAAATTAAAATATTTAAAAAATTCAGACTTTCCTTAAGACATGTATCTATTAATTAAAATCTCGTTTAGAAAAGTGTATTGAAGCAAATGGAGCATATTTTGCTTAAATAAAGGTCATTTGGAAGAAAGGTACACAGTAGTTTAAATTATATTAAAAATCTGACATTTCAGATGCACCAAGCTTATAAGTACATACCAAACCATTATTTCTCTTATCCCCTTAAATATCATTAAAACACTTAGCTAAATCTTAAATATAAAATTTGTAATATGACATGTAATTTTTTGTTCAGCATATGTTTATGTTATACAGCATGACAAGAGGTAGCAGTAAAATCTGAAATGTGACACTTAGTGACAAAAAAGAGAAGGGACAAAATATTGAAAAAAAATGCGACATCATTAATGGACAGTCCTTTAAGCGTCACTCAAAATGAAGACAAATGTTCACATTTTTAGTTTTAAAACAGAAAAAAAATATTCTCAAGTGAACGATATATGAAGTCGTCATAAAAAAATTACAAAAAAGACCCACATTACCCTTACCCTCATTGTTAAAATTAATTACGACCAACCACTCCGTATGTCACAAACAATACATCCCTTTTGTTACATACATCAGATTATACATACATTAGATTATTTTTATTGTTCAATAAATCAATATCAAGTATCGAAATAAAAAATCAAGTATTGAAACGTATTGAAATAAATAGTTTTCAGAGAAAAGATTATATACATAGGTAATATATTTTTTATTAAAAAATCTAAAGTACCTAAAATGTTAAGAAAAATGATTGCCCACAGATTTATGATTTGATAAAATGTAACAATGACTATTTAATAAAATTATATTTCAAAAAACAAATGCAATATTTTTCCTAATCTAACAAAACTTTAAATCAATGGTTATTACATTGTAATTCCTTTTTTTATATTACAAGAAATATATTCATATTTTTAAATGTTAGGTAATAATTTAAAATAAAAGTGTCAAAATATGCCAAAAGTGTCAATGTATAGCCACAAACTGCTCTAGAGCCCTTCTTTTCTGAATAACTAACTATCTGAAGTAAAAGTAACAATGCTTTCGAGAACGTCTTATTTTATAAACTTTGCTAAACTTTTTATTCTTAATTTCAAATCTTTTTTAAATGCATGAAATTCATAATTTAGTTTATTATTATTTGCTGAATATGCATTAAAAAAATCTTTATAAATTTGTAGAAATGCAAATTTTAAATTCACTCTATTTTCTTACTTTATTTTCAAGTTACAAAAATTACACATTTGAAATTTATTCAAATTTTCAATTTGAAAAAAAATTATGCACAGTTAAAATTTACTTACATTTTCAATTTGAAACAATACGCATTTCGAATTTACTTACATTTTCAATTTGAAAAGAAATACACATTTAAAGTTTACTTCTTTTTTCAAATTTAATGTCTCTAGACAAATTGTGTATTTCTAATTAACTGCCACATTCTTTTTTTATCAAACTTTTTGCAACTTTATGTATTAAAATTTATTATTATTATTATTATTATTATTATTATTATTATTATTATTATTATTATCTAATTTTATGAACCAGGACCTTTGTTTTTATCATATCTGATTAAGTGTGACTCACTGGTTATAGGATAAAAAAATAAATTAAACAACTGAACATTCAAACAATACACTGATGCATTCTTATAAGTATTTCTAATAAAATGTATTACGTATGTATTTATAATAAGAAGACAAGATAGGCTTACTGCAGAGAAATAAATTTCTCTTTTGAAAAATCCACTACTTGTGCTCACAAGTTCAGCTTATACAAATTAAGCTTTGAATTTTCTCATCAAATCAAGTTCTAACTCATAACTGTTTTAAAAATATTTAAACATATTATCAGTTTTATTCTTTGAATGTTTGACAGACATGCTCAATTTGTAATTATTTTTGTAACGTAGACATTTATAGGTTCATAATCAACAGTCAAATAATCATAACTGTTTTAAAAATATTAAAACAGATTAACGATTTCCTTCTTTAAGTCCTTGATGAACTTGTGCTATTCGTAATTACTTTCATGACTAAAACATTTTATAGTTCTAAAATCAAGAGCCAAATGCTCATAACTGTTTTTGAATTAAAATAGATTAACAGTTTCCTCCTCTGAGTGTGTGACAGACATGTACAATTCTTAATTATTTTGTTAGCATAAACATTTGTGGGCTCATAATCAAGGGACAAATGCTCATAACTGTTTAAAAAATATTAAACTAGATTAACAATTTCCTCCGTTGAGTGCATGATAGGCCTATGCAATTCTTAATTACTTTTGTAACGTAAACATTCATTGGTTTATAATCAAGAGCTAAATAATAATGTAAGAAATAATCCATTTTTGCTTTGAAAAAAAAGTTATGATTGAAAAGTATTGAATTAATTCGAAAATATAGACTTTTCCATCAAAACATATAAAATTAAATAAATAATCCCCTAATTAAAATAACAATATTTTTACATAGAACATTGTAGGGGATTTAGAATTCATTATATAAATTATATGAATTATATTAGTATACATCAAAATTTTTTAACTTCTTTTACCCATGAGCTGATTTAACAGTTAAATTTTTTTAAAACTTGAAGATCTATTTATATGAAATTAAAGGAAAATTGTTAAATGAATGTTTATTATTGCAACAATTAAGGAAAAAATTGTAGAATTCGCATGAGGGGTCTACTAATAATTGTGTATGAAGGCACAAGTATGTTATATTAATGAAATTAATAAAATTAATTAAGATTGTTGATCTAATTTTGCATTTCCCCACTTTACTGAGCATCCAACAGAAAAGTTATGCAAGATTTAAAAAAGAAGAAGAAGCTTTGGCAACTGATTCTGCCAAACCCCCTCTGGTTGGTAACGTTGGTTTGCAGACTTTTTAAGGCTTTTGAAAAAAATTCTTTTAGTGGTAGCTAAGTTTATGTTTTAATGTATGATTTGTTTTGCAAGTTTTTTAATGTTCACCAGCCTATAAAATATTCTGCAAAAAGCGTTGTATTTGGCTGCTCTGGGTATGAAGCATTATGCATTTATTGTTATTATTATTAGCTTATATTTAACTCAAAACACATTGAATTTAGATGTTATTATTTATGTAAAATATGGCTAAACAACAAGTGTTCGTCGAAACTTTGAGTCATTTCTCTTATGCACTAACATCTTAGAAACAAAATCAACAAAATACTTTCTAAACCTTCAAAATTGCTTTAATAATTTAAATTAAAATAATTTTGTTCTTCAGGATTCTACAACATATAAAAAATTAAAAAAAAAGAATTTCTACAGCCCTACGTAAATAATGGTCTAAAGTCAATTTTTTTTTACAATAGAAGTTGGCTTTATATTGAAGGTAGTTCAAGTTATTTCTATTTTATTTTAAAATTACTGCATCTCCTGCTTGCTCCGCTGCCAAAATAAATCAAACTAAAGTAATATATTCATTAGATTATAAGACCATGTATCTGAAAATAAACCATGACAAAATTGTCTAACTACATTGAGAGTTTTAAATATATTTTCCAAAAAATAAAACACCCTTACTGTGGAGTAAAACTTCACAGAATTTTGATGATAGTTTAAAAATACGTCTTTAAGGAAAAACATATTTAAATTTCTGGACCCATATAATTATAAATAAACCCCCCAAAATTAATCAAATATATCTTCAATAGACAAATAAAAGACACAAATATTTATATCTTTAAGTACAGTACACAATACAATGCAAACTATAAACATTTACCGTGCATATGCATTTCAATGCATGCAGTTATAAAATTTAGTGTAAGCAAAATATAATTACAAAAAATTTGTTTGCAATACAAAATTATGCATATGAACGATTTTAATTTATTTAAATAACAAAAATCTTTCTTAAATTTAAAATCACATGTAAAAATGTCGATAAACTAGTTTTCATAGTTCTAATTCAAAAATAAAGTTGAAAACAAAATTCGATTTTCAATTTTAAAATCAGAAAAAAAAATGTTTTAACAGTAAAACAAATTGCCCAATTAAAATTAGAAAATTTTATTATAATTTTAAAGCGTTTGTTACTTTTAATTTTAAAGCCTATTAATTAATATGTATTTCTAAAGCAAATTCAAAATCTCACAGGCTACTAATAAAAAAGAACTATTGTACAATGCAGATTCAGCATATCATAGCGATGATGAGCTAGATCTGCATTGTTAAAATGTAAAGTGCACAATTTTAAAAAAAATTCTAATTATAATTTCATAGTGCTATACCATTTAAATTTAAAGCTTATTAATTAATGCTTATTTCTAAAACAATTGAAAATCTTACCTTTTAACAGGCTACTAATAAAAAAGAACACTTGTACAATGTAGATCCAGCACATCATAGCGATGAATCGTGAGCTTTTTATTGGTATGTTTAAATTTCTTCAGCTTGCAATAGCGAGTGTAAAAGGGCAGTGTATGAGCAAAAATTCACTTCAACTAACAGATAGGATAAAAAAGAGAAAAGAACAACAGTCCACAACGACGACCGTAACAGCTTCGAGTCAAGAACACTTCAACGGATTTAGGAGTCATTCTTGCCCACTTTGCTCGCTTCCTTCTGATGCTTCTTCTGCAATGCCACTTCCAGCGCCAAACTGCAAGCACCATTCAAATACGAAAAATTTATTTTAACCAAATTTCTTCCCCTACTTCTTTTTTTACTCCAGCCGGAAAAAAAATTGTATCAAATCAGAAAAATGTAATCTTGAAAGTCTGCTGGAGAGGACTTGCCGTTATCATCATTGAGTACTGGTCTCTCACCGGTTTCTATAAATAGCAACTGTTCGCGCATAAATAGTGAGAAAGGTGCTTTCAAACTGGGCGAAAGTGCTTTTCCGACAATTGGTTTCAATGGCTGCTGCGGCAGAAATGCTGCAGCATGCTCTATTCGAGCACAGTTGAACCAGTAGCAATAGTGAGGAATGTAGAGGAGAACTTATTGCCAGAAAAGTTGTGCCTTGGACGGAGGCTGCAGAAGTCTCTAAAAGATGATGTCCTCTGTCCTCCAAACCAGAAATTGGGATAGATTGATCTAGGAATATGTTGATGATGTGATATCAGTAAAGGGGTCAGTCCAGTGGTTAGTCTTTACCACTTATCCGTGACCGACAAAGTACGGAAAGATAATCGGGATGTTCTTTCTACTGGCCTGCGTCGATCGGGCGACCTGCTGGATCGATGGTTTGGCATTTGCGCAGATGCGCTTCTCGGGGACATTGGGAGTGAGGAGGTAACCTTACAGCGGCGCTGCTGAAATCCACGTAATACGTTAACGTTATTTTTTGTTCTTGTTTTTCGCCTCCTATGCTGTGTTCCCTTTTTCTTCATTTCCGAATATGGGAGACAATTTATCACGTGGAACTCCCTTATTTTCTCTTGCTTCTTTTTATTGGGACCGTAACCCTTTATGGTGTTATTTTTTCCTAGTGTATTAACATGAATTGTATGTGATTTTACGGTCGTCCAGCAACGGTGCGAAATGTGACTGCATTCTCAGAAGTAAACTTCTACGGAGCGGCAGAATTGAAAAGGTCATGAACTTTCGCCTCAGGAGAGCTTAAGCTCATTTTGGAGGTTTATTCGGTTAGATTAATGCGAAATAAAATCCTAATTTAAATTAACTTACCAACAGGCAGTATTAGTAAATGAAAATAATGCCATATTTGTCTAATACAATGCAAATAGAAAACTTTGCATTAAGCATGTTTGAGAATAACTGATTTGATCATAATTAGCTAAAAGAAATATTCATAATAGTTTATCTGTAATGCATTCCACAATCAGTACTAGAATTTTGATGCATGTTGCATCGATCTACTTCTTTGCATATTCATAATGTTTGGCTCATTTTAATATCAAGCTAGTTTGTTATAGTTTATTTTGCATTTTCTCTTAAATTTCATTTTTTTAATGTTTTAAAGTAAAACATTTATTAAACATCATGAAGTCTTTCTAAACTTGCGGCGTTTAGCAAGATTTTCAAAGCATTTTTCACAGTATACCATAACTAAACACCATATGTTTAACAACATTTTGTTGCATGGACGTAATCAACACATATTTTCTGCGATGGTATTACATGTATCTGGATTAAGATTATAATATCTGGATCCATGTACTTATAATATAATTTTTGTTATTTAAATAAAATGCATGACTTAAAACAAATTAATGATTAATAGTTGTCTCGCAATTTTTTTAAAAAGAATATTTTTATTTTAATGATTTAAACCGATTGCTCTTTAAAAAAGACGTTTAGGAACCAAGTAAATAGTATCCTTTACATATACCAATGTCATTACGCTTCTTATTTTGCTTTAAATATTTACTGTCGCTACGAAAATACTTTTCATAATTAAAACTTTAAAGTTTGGCTACTATAATAAACTAAATTCAACGTCTTACGAAACAAACTTTTCTCTGTTTGAAAATCTTTTTTTATGCAGTTTTTTCGCATATTTCTGAGACTGGCAATAAACAGAATGGTGCGATCATCATTGAAAATCGATTGATAACCTAAATATATTGCTGCTATAGTAAAATTTTCATATTTCGACATTTAAATTAAATCTTTAAAAATACATAAGTTGTTATTACCGAAATTAGTTAAATATTTAGTTATGTCTAAATATGGCATTGCACAGGAGCCATAAGAAATATGTTAGGGAGATCAAAATTTACAGTACAAACTTGCAGAGGAGGTAGGGCAGATGATAAAGATTAAAAATTGAATGCGAATCCATAACCAGAAATGTAATCTACGTCGCTGGCCATTTTCCTATTAAGAACTGTTTCTAAGTGTGTCTTTGAACAGGTACTTTTTTTGTCTAAATTATCTTTATTTCTCCTTAATTTTACGTTTTTAATATTTATTATAGAAAATTGCTTTAAAATAGGTAAAGAAATAGCTGCTTCATAGTAATTTAATGATTTGTCCAGCCTGTCAAGTTAATCATTAAATTAATTTCAAAAATCTAAAACTGAACCTATTTAAACGCAGTTTTCAACTGAACCTATTTAAATACAATAGGCAAAAAACATAAAATTTAAATGAAATTAAGATAATTGAGATAAACAGAAGTACCTGTTCATAGGCACAAATAGAAACTGTGACACGATGACATTTCCGGTAACGGGTTCTTGCGCAATTCCTAATTCTTATAATGCTTACTTTACTAAGTTTGCTCCATGAGTCCAAGAAGCACTTTGCTTATATCAAGATATCATTCACTTTTCCCTCGTATAGTATAATTACTACATCGACCAGCACAACTTTTTTTTTATATATTTTTCTGCTACACTACGCTAAGCAGAATAAAGAATTTAACTATAAAGAAACAGCAGCATTTACAAGAAGATGAATCCTAAGTATGAATCTCCAATCTCAAAAGTTTTGTATTTTAATATTTTCTTGGTTAAAATATCATTAAATAAAATTTAAAGCAAGAATTAATCGAAAAAGAGCAATGAAATGTTCTAATAAAATCTGCATTTTTTGTTAAAAAATGCATAATTTTTAATCTCTCTCTCTCTATATATATATATATAGTATATATCAATAACTCTACATATTATAATTACTCTTAAAATTTGAAAAGCTTTCTCTTATTCAAACTTCATACTACATTGGATTGACATATTCAGAAAGTAGTTTTTCTTTCAAACATGAAATTATTATAAAAGAAAATTTAAAAAACGAAAATGCAGTATTATGAACTACTATCATTATTTGAATTGTTTTTTCAAATATCTCTACTTGAAACACTGGCTATAGTCCAAAATTTTACTGGGATGTAAAGAAATGATAGATACTTAAATAAAGGCATTTCAAGGCTAAAGAAAAAATATAATTTAATTTGTTAGAATTTTGAAACCCTTCAAGCAGTTTGAATAGATTAGATTATCATATGACAGAAAACAAATTTAGCTCAAAACTGTATTGACGGCAAATTGCACCCAGTAAAAAGTAAAAATTCATTTTAAGTTTAATTAGTTTAGTTAAACAAACAGACATGCTCACTTTAAACAGCAGAAATTTTACGTATCGCATGAAAACGCAAAATATCAATTGAAAAAATTTATAACAAGTAAATGTATATCAAAAAAATATATAAGTATAAAAAATGTGTATCAAAAGTATCTTGTGCAAAGAAAGACTACATCAATAATTTAAAACACTCATACAATATTATAACATACAAATAATAAACAATTTTATAATAATCAATAAGATACATAACAATATGAATATTCTAAAATTACTACTGAAACATTTACTTAAAAAAAGGCTTGTTTAAAGTAAATGATTATCGTAAACGTTTAATTTAAAAAATAACCTTTTTTTCATGTGTATCACAGGACACACAAAATGTCAATCAAAAAACATGTATCATTTTATCTTGCACGAGAAAAGACTTCATTAATAACTTGATTAGATAACAAAATAATTTTCAAAACATTTGTATAACCTTCTGGCATAAAAATAACAAACAATTTTACAATAATCATAAAGATGCATTGCATAATAATTATCCTAAAAAAACATAGCATCAAAAGTATCATGATAACAGCAGAAAAATCTTAATAACGTCACTCCATAATAAATATTCTAAATATTATTAATTTATTAACAACATAATAATTCTAATTACGCACTGGAAACATCCTAAACGTAAAATATCGAAATTTGAGTGATTCAGAAATAGCGATGCTCAAAAGTTATAGTTAAACAAAAAAGACGTATTCTAATTTAGAAATAAAACTTTGGGGACATATAAAATATAACGAATTACTTTTAAAGATAGCACTTAAAGATAGCACATAGAACGAAGAACATAGAACATAGAACATTGAACAAAGAACATAATATAGAGAACATAATATCGAGTCATAGAGTAATATAGAGTATAGAACATATATATATAGGCATCCCTAGAATGTATTTAAGGTTATAGCGGGATCCAAACACGCTACCTACTATACTAGCTCCACGCTACATTGGAAGTATCTTTGTAATGTTCTTCTCTAACTAGCGCTTTCTGTTTTTCAACTTGATTAGGGTTTATAAATCATACTTTGGAGAGTGCAAAAAAATTTGCATAGAAGGGTAGACAAAAAAATGGATATTTTAGAATGACAACTTCTAATACCAAAACAAAAGTCGTACTTCAGCTTCTTTACTTAGCTAAAAATGATAAAGAAAATAAATATTTATTTGTTTTGGTCACGTATGATATTCAGAGTTAGAGAAAAAGGCAGAAAAAAGCTTCATTTTTAAATTTTTTATTAAAGTAAAAATATTATAAATTTTTGTGCAAATATCATTTACATGCTTTCTTTTAACGAGTTTTTCAAATATTTTTGAAAATATTTATATTTTTTGCACTTTTTAAATTCCGCGTAAGTTGCAATATGTTGTGATATTAAGAAAAATGTAATTTTCCGAACTCCTGTTTACTTAATAAAATGTTTTTAACGTTTTCTTTTTTTTTCCAGGTTTTTAATCTTTTGGACTTAATGCACTACGCACAGTTCTCACTAGCTATGCAATTATGATTTTTTTCTCCTAACAACCCAGAACTCAAAGTTAACATGGACCCAAATGTCAGATTTTACTAACAACCCAGTGTACTGAACTTACCAAAAATTCTCGTTTTAAAAATTATAGTTCTTATTACCACACATTTAGTAAAAATATAAAACTAAAAAGTAAATTTAACTGAATAAATAGTTTTTATACCATGCTCTAAAGTATCAGTAAAAAATTACCGAAATTTTTTTTCCAGATCTTTAATTCATTTTACCATACATTTGATAATTTTAACTTTTTGATGTCTATGCCGTTTAGCAAATAGAATAGTAACCAATTGTTTACATTTCGGTGGTTTAATTAAAATGGAGGTTTATTTAAATGGCTTATAGGACTTAGGTGATGGTGAATTGCTTATTTTTCTAATATATTTATCAATTAGAGGGAAAATGGGCTTAAATGATGATACGAATTAGAAAGAAAAAACTGTACTCGAATAGATCAAGCTATTGTGTCAGTTGTATGCAGTTTTCATGGGTGAAGTGGGATCTATTTACGTATTCACTTACATACATAGGTTTCTTTGTCAATATTTGGAATAACTTTTCTTAATTTAAAAAACAGCAAAGTTGTACAAAGATAATAAGAATATACAACCAGTGTTATAGGATTTACACTACACTGCATTTAACATACATATGTAGGTCCGTGTGCTATTGCGAAGTACAATTTTTTATTATAAGTTCTTATCAAGTTAAAGAACAGATAGCAGAATTTA